ATAATTAATTGCCTTAAAAAAATAAAAAGTAATTTTAATTTTATCATATATGACACCTATTAAATTGTCATTAGTATTTGACAAAATTAAAATCATCTTTACATCGTAAATAGCACCAAATTTAAAGATGGTGGGTATGTAAGGAAATGCCTCATCATTAAGAAGTAAACTTTAGGCTTGACGATGATCCAGTGGAGTGCAGAATGCAGATGATGTATTGTCATGGTGGTTTGTGACAAATAGTAGTCTAAACACATATTGATGTGTTAATCTTTTATTGTTTATTAGATTTAAAGGGTTAGTTGCAAGATTTAAGTGCTGGGTTGAGGAAGGAAGAGAGGAAGGAAAAAAATTAAAAAATTGTTTTTATTCTCATTTAAGTTTTAACCCATTTAAAATTTATATGAATCTATTGACAATTATAAAAGGTTTATGATCAGTATTTCAATTACGCATGTCTTATTGATATATAAATCTAACCATTGGTTGTGGCAAAAAAAAAAAAATCTAACCATTGTTCTCCAACTAAACCGCCCAAAAATCCAAATGTAGATTTCCTTTAGTGGTAATTCATACATACACTTGGGAATTTGAAGAAGATTGAATTTCCAACAATGCTAGCAATAAAAACCGATTTGAATCTCCTCTGGCTTTTTGGTAGAGTAATTTTAGTGGCATAAAATTCAATGGTGGAAAAATCCTTCATAAGAGATTCAACAAGGCTGCAATTATAATCCACCTAGAATTGCTCTTCAAATCAAAGTAGAAAACTTAGAAGGAGAAGACTTTCCATTTTTTCCCCCTTTCTTGCCACCACACCCCACTCCATTTTGGACTAAGGCTCCAAGCCCTTATCGTCGCCTAAGCCTAAGCCTAAGCCCTTTGATGCCACTTTTAGATCTTTTTATTTTAATTTCGAATAAATCTAAATTTAAATTAATTGAATTAAATTAATTCTTTTTATTAATTTAATCTTGAACTTGATTAATTTAATATGATTTTACTTGATTTTATATTATTTTCATTATTTGTATAGGATGAGACTTAGGCTTCGTTTGAGATGGTTCTAGGTTGCTTTAGCTTTTGGGTTTTTTTTCTTTGTCTTTTTATTCTCCTAAAAACATAAAAAATATTAATCAAAATAAATATTAAATATGTTAAATATATTTTATATATTTGTTGTATTGAAAAAACCGAAAAAATCAGCATCTACATTTATGTGGCAACACTTCCAAACCAAGCCGTAACTTTTAAAAACCATAAATTAGGAACTAAATCACAATGTTTCGTGAAGTCCAAGGATGTTTAAACTAGTGAGATTGAAGTCCAAATTGTAAAATTCTAAAATCCAAGAACTAAAGTGCAACAAATGTAGAAAGTTGAGAACCAACAGCGTAGTTTACCATTAAGGAAAGAGACATGTACGTATTTTAGATTAGTGGTGATGGTGTCAGCACCTCCTCTCTCTTTCTTTTTTTCTGTTTCCTTTTTTTTTTTTCTCATAAATTATAACCCGAATATCATAAGTATTAAAGAGAGGTTCAGTCAAATTTTAGGAAAACGTGAATAAATTAATAAGGAATCAAATTTGATACAGATTTTATTGTAATATTTAATATATGTTATATTTAAATTATATTTTATTTAGTGTATGTTAAGAGAACTTATTAAATATTTATTAAAATTTTTTTAAAGTTCACTTAGTATTAATTGAATTTT